TCTCTAGTAAAACTCTCCAGGGTAAATTAATTGCCTTTGAAAGAATAGACGTTGTCTGCAAGATCCCATGTGCCAGTTTTGATGCCGTCTATTGATGCCGAACTGGGAAATCTGTCTGAAACCCTGTAGATGAACGTCAGTTAGCGGTGATGAGGAGAGGGGGACCATCTTGCCCATGGGAGAACACTCTTATAGTTTACATCCATCTACCAATATGGCTACGCCGTGAATACCTGGAAGTAATTCAATCAACTGTGCCCTGCATCAATCGGCATCTCGTTTTAGATGCCACTCACAAATTCCTCAGGGAAAAATGAAAGCCAGTGTAGCCAATGTCGAGGGCATGAAGAAATGCAATTGGCGTGCAATGGCGTAAGCTTCAGCCAACTGCAGAATCACTTCTTCGACAGGGTTAAAGGGTGAACTGTTTTTGTGCGTGTCTCAAGTCTGACAATGAGCTGGGGAACCTGTATCGTAAATGTGCGCGCAATAAGAGTTAATGTGTTTCCAGATAATCTCGCCTACTGTAAACGAATATGTTCTCATAGGCCACGTGCAGTCATCACAGACGTTGATGTTTCTCCTTCCTTGCGTGTGTATATGTTCATGCTGAAGAAGTCATTTGAGGAAACAACAAACTTTGTTTCGGATATTTTAAAACTTATTGCCCTAGGTCGTCGTTGTCGTCATCGTCGTCGTCGTCAGACGTACAACTGGTGGGCGAGTTCGCAAAATTTTAAAAAGTGACGTCCGAGAGAATCTCTCCAGACTACACGCATGCATCAATTACAGTAGGTCTACTAACTGATGAAATGTCAACGGGAATTTCGAAATGCGTTTTCGTTTCGAAAAGATTAATTAAGTAGGGTTGTAAAACTAGTTAGTCTGCAACATGATAGTTCAGTCACCTCAGGATGCCGACGTTCGAATGAACTTCCATCCGGCTGCATTCAAAAACTGCACTCTGTAAAAAATGACTACTTACTTAGCATAAAATTTTCTCATTGACTTTCGATGCCCTGAATAGTCCAATTATATTTCATGGTAAACATGCACACAAATATTCATTCTTCTGGTCTTTCGGTAGATAATTACGGCTTCTTCTAATTTGATGCTCGAGGGAAAGGTATAATTCGGTTTTCAACGATATTAAAAGTCCAACAATTAGAAACTTTTTAAAACCGAATTATACCCTTCCTTCGAGCATAAATTTAGTAGATTTGTGTCCCATATCCAGAGCATGTATGGATAATCGTGACAGATGGCCTCCCTTCAGTATCCTTCATTGATGATCATAACTGTGTGTAGTGGCAGAGTTGCTAGTTTCATCACAGCGTCCTGTATTGCAGACACCACAATGACTGTTGTATGCGAATATTCACGCTTACCAAACTGGTCTACCCAATCTTGAGGGTGTACCAACAGCGTACATAGTGTAGTCGTCGGCTACTGGGCCACTTCTATATGATGTTTCCTAGTGCCACATTCTACACCTATCTCCGTCTATATCCACATCAGTTGGTCAAAACACAGAGTGCCAAGCAGTCCCAGGGAACGTACTCGTTTATGTTCAGACGCTGTAGGAAGTCCATGTAATCAGTCCTGATGGAGCCGAATGGACCGGGAAATAGGAGGATATTGTTGGCTCCTAGGCCCTGACGAAGATAGTGGATCTGGATGGAAAGAACATCCTCGTAGGCACCAAACATGTGGTTGATGTTGGGATCCCTGAGGCCAAGTACAGAGGAGGGAGGACATGCGACTTTGCTGAAACTGCCGACGAAAGGACGTAGGAGTCGACCACCGACAAGCAGTCCTCTGCGTCCAATAATACGATTGAGTATAAACATGCAATTTCTACAATGATTCAAAGAGAAGAAAATGTAGTTAGATGTTGTAAATTGCAAACCATCGACACATATGTCACTGCATTACCTGGTGCAGCATAAATGAGGATATATGTATGTGTGCAATTTACTCAGAATGACGGGAGGCATCGGTCTATAATACTACTTAAATATGATGACAATATCAGTAAAGACATGCCCGTGATTTGCCATACTTCCATGCAGGACGCAGCGCATAGCCTTGCACACCAAATGCGGTGAGATGGATGCAAGGAGCAGTGTCACGTCGAAGAAAATTATCGCCTCCGGGAAGCACCATTTTGGCTCGCGGGAATTAGTGAGGAGTGGAGATGTTGATTTTACTGACGTCCCAGATGAACCTCAAAGAAGATGTGGGGATTGTGAGTCATCCGGCTGACTGGGCTGCCGCCGAGGGCTACGATTAGTCGAGGTGAAAGGTGGGACTAGTGGATTTGGGGTAATCCCTAGCATCTACCTGACGCACTGCCGGTTGCTTCTCTTTAACGCCATTCGTCCAACCCATACCTGCACTGAGTCAGAAGAAGACCGTTTAACTGACTAATAACTAACCTGTCCTGCGACGGTGGCGGAGATGTTGTGTGGTAGGACAATCAGCGGTTGAGGCGAGTTTGTGTGCCTGTGGCAGTCCGTTCGCCTGGTCGACTGTCTGGTTATTCCCTCATGACGCCTTCTGTCAGCTTAAGTATCACCTCCTGCCAATGGGATGCTGTTTGCAACACACGTGACTTGGCCACGTCGGGGAGACAGCTTCGCGCTAATCCACGTAGTGTCATTTTCTGATCCGGATTGTAGGCGGACAAAGGTCATGTGTGCACGCACGCACGCACGCACGCACGCACGCACCGCCCTCGGCGTGGCGCTCAGGTGAACGGATGTCGTGATGTGAGGCCGGCGATACCATACCACCACATCCCTCCTCACCAGCATCTACTCTAAACACGACCACACTTGACACCACACGACGAAAGCACGTGGTTGGCACATCTCTCCTCGTAAGTGGCAAGTGTTTTCCTGCTCCTACTCCCTGTGGCCCCTCCGCTGCATGTGTGATCGGAGCCTGAGACTGTCAGTGTACGTTGATGATAATGATGACCCGTAAGACTGCCAACTACCGATGGAACTCAAGCCTTGCATTCAGCCCAACGTGCGTATGTGCGCTCTGGCAGACTGCAGGACTGAGAGTCGGGCTGCAATGCCTCCTTCTCGACGTGACCTCTGACACTTTCAAATCCCACCCACCAACCAACACACACACACACGACGACAGTTCGACCATCGATTTCGATGATGTCCACCGTGTGCTCCACAGGTCAAGAAGACCGGATAGGCCCATGCGATGCCGGAAGGTGCGAGGGCGGTGTGGGCAGTGGAGGCGAGTGCGGTTGGTGTAGGTTGGTGCTTCAGGCACTGGTGCGCCAGTCTCTGTGCGATGGATTCGCAAGTGACCGACCAGGCCGATGTGAGGTGAAGATGCGGTCGCAGTGAGGGCAGGTGTAGTCCTGATCCTCATCGCTGTAGTCGGGGGAGGTGGTGGTGGTGGTGGTGGTGTCGGTTTTTGCGCGCGTGAAAGTCGCCTGAGCGGCCGTCGTTGCAGCCGTAGAGGAGGAGGAGGAGGAGGAGGAGGAGGAGGAGGAGGAGAAAAAGCGTGGGAGTGGTGGTTCAGAAGAATTTTCAGAGCTAGTTGGCGACGGAGGGGAGGAAGAGGCGGGCGGGGGGACGACGGTTGGCGCAGTTCGAGAGGCGCAGTTGATCCGAAGGTGTCCAACAAGTGCGATTCGAGCCCGGAATGTCCGTTGACATCGAGGACACGTAGGTGGAGGTTGTGCGGCGGCGTTGCGGACTGGGCGAAGTTGTGATTTGCGGGCTTCGCGTTTCGCCGTGGCCGCAGCGATGCGATTGGCTTCGTAGATCGCAGCGCCTGTCTTCACTGTCCTCCTCCAGGTCGGTCGCTCGAGTGCGAGCTCTTCCTAGTTGGCCGTATTGATTTTCAGGCGCTTCAGGAAGGACTTCAGAGTATCCTTGTAACGGCGAATTTGGCCTCCTTGGCGGCGAGAACCCGTGGCAACGTCTCCGTAGTAGAGTCGTTCGGGTAGTCGCTCCAGCGCAACTGCATTTGTCTCAGTATGGCGTAGATGTTGAGGATTCCCGTTCGTTCCAGTACTTCAGTGTCGGGGATTCGATCCTGCCAGTTCAGCCTCAGGATGCGACGAAGACAACTGAGGTGGAAGTGGTTCAGTCGACGTGCCTGCTTTGTGTACACCGTCCAAGTCTCCGCTACATACAGTAGCATCGGCAGGATGACGGCCTTGTACATCATTAGCTTCGTGCTCAGTTGAAGTCCGTGACGATTCCAAACTGTGCTTCGGAGACGACCGAAGGCTTGACTGGCTTTCGGGATCCTGTTGGCTACTTCGTCATCGATCTTGGTGTTGCGGGAGAAAGTACTGCCTAGGTACGGGAAGCTCTCCACCATTTGCAGTTGGGTTCCGTTCACACTGATTTGCGGCGACGCGTTGGGGGCTGTGGCTGTGTTGGGTGGCGGTTGCTGCATCACCACCGTCTTCTGCGTGTTGATAACCAGCCCAAAGTTCTCGCAGGCGGCGGAGAACAGGTCCATGCTCCGTTGCATCTCCTCTTCCGAGGTGGTGTTCAGGGCGCAGTCGTCGTCGGCGAAGAGTAGTTCGTGCACGGTGGTTGTGGATACGCGCGACTGGAAGTGCATCCGCCGTTGATTCAGCAGGTGACCGTCCGTCCTGTAGGCGACGCGGATCCCGGGGCGTTCGTCGCGGCAGTCGTCCATCAGCATGGCAGAGAACATAAGACTGAAGAGGGTAGGTATCAGTACGCATGCCTGCTTCACTGCGTTGGTCAGTGCGAATGCCTCTGAGACAGCTGCGTTGTCCGTGACTCGCGCCATCATACCGTCGTGCAGCTGACGCACCATCTGAGTCAATCGCTCCGGACAGTCGAATTTCTGCATGATCTTCCACAGTCCTTCACGATTCACCGTGTCGAAGGCTTTCGTCAGGTCCACGAAGGTAGAGTACAGGTGGGTCCGCATCTCCTGGCACTTCTCCTGAAGTTGGCGGGCGGCGAAGATCATATCCGTGGTCCCACGATGACGACGGAAGCCGCATTGGCTTTCCGGCAGAAAGTCCTTTTCCAGATGATTATTGAGGCGGTTGAGCAGGATGCGAGCGAAGATCTTCCCGACGATGTTTAGCAAGGAGGTGCCACGGTGATTGTCACAGACTTGGCGATTCCATTTTCGCTTGTATAGATGCACGACTGTTGCGTCCATGAAATCTTGCGGGACTTCACCTTGACGCCACATCTCCTGGAAGAGCGCAGTCAGGTGATCCATCGGTCGGGGACCACCGTGCTTGTAGACCTCAGCAGGGATTGCGTTCGATCCGGGTGCTTTCCCGCTGGAGAGCTGCCGCACGGCCCTGATCGTTTCCTGGAGAGATGGCGGGAGGTCGAGGTCCGCGTTGGTCGCCACTTGCGGCAAACGCTCGATGGCGGCGTCGGAGATGACGGAGGGGCGGTTGAGGACGCCTCCGAAATGCTCGGCCCATCGCTGTAGGATTTGCGTCTTCTCAGTCAGGAGAGTGCTGCCGTCGGCGCTGAGGAGAGGAGCAGTCCCCTTCGTCGGCGGACGGTAGACAGCTTTTATAGCAGAGAAGAAGTTCTTCTATTCGTTGCGGTCCGCGTAGCCTTGGATCTCCTCAGCTTTGCGAGCATTCCAGGCGTCCTGCATCTCGCGCAGACGTTACTGAAGATGGCGCGGCTGCGGTAGAAGGCAGCTTTGTTGTCCTCATTGGGGTGATCTACGTAGGCTTTGTGTAGGCGGTGCTTCTCAGCAAGCAGATTTCCGGTGGCGGCGTCGTTCAGTTCAGTTCAGTTCAGTTTATTTGAGGGAAATATAGGTGTTAAATCTTTGAACTCCCTATTTGTTACAAGGAGGCGAACAATAAAAAAATTTGAATATTGAAACATCAAACGGCTACAGTGTTTCTTCAGATTGGCAACGTTTTGCAAGCCAGACAGATAAACGAATTGTTCCAAGAGTTAAAAACATTAACGTTACTAAATGTGCTGTACAGTAGTCTGTCTAGGGATAGTTGGTGCTATCTCACTTTCGGAGGGAGACGAATTGAATGCCAACACACATTTAACAGACATGGGACAATATTAAAAAAAACAAACGTTACTGAAATACAGGAAGTAATATAACAACATTAATAAACTGTTCGAACTAAATGCTAGACAATCTGACAGGTGGCATTGTGACGATTGGCGGCAATCTGGTCCAAGTTGCGCTTAAAAGCCTCGACGGAAGTGGACATGACGACACCTGCAGGCAGAGCATTCCAGGCCTCGATCACTCTGTTTGAAAAGGAGAACTTCCGAGTGTCCAGCTTGGCGCCAGTTACGCGTAGTTTAAGTGGATGACCTCGGAGGTTCGTTGTGGTCGCTAACTCAAAGAAATCAGCAGGTACGAGACAGCAGTCCTGGCCGCGCAGAATACGGAATGTTTGTATAAGGTCGCCTCTTAGCTGTCTGTAACTCAGTGGAAAGAGGCCGAGATTGGACAATCGGGTTTCATAGGGTAGTGAACCCTGTCCACCTACGAGTTTGGTTGCCCGCCTCTGAACTTTCTCGAGGATGCTGAGATCTTTAGAGGTCCACGGTTTCCACGCCTGAATGGCGAACTCTAGCTGTGGCCGTACGAAAGTCCGAAAGACTTTAACGAAGCAGTCCTCATCGAAGGAAGAGAAAGCTCTCTTGACAAGATAAAGGACTGACATCGCAGACTTGGCTACCTTGGAGCAGTGAAGCGACGGTTTTAGAGAAGCCGTTACCCACACCCCCAAGTCTTTCTGGGCGTCTACCTCCTGCAATGGTACGCCGTTTAGGTGGTTAACCCTCCGGTTCAGAGATCGGGTCCTGCCGACTCGCAGGACATTACACTTAGTCACATTAAACGGCAACAGCCAGTCCTGTGACCACTTCTCGAGTCGGGTCAGGTCTGCCTGCAAGCGCTCTTCGTCAAATTCAGTTCGGATGACGCTCCAAAGTTTAACATCATCAGCGAACATGGCGACATCACAATTCAGTTAGCTGACGCAGTCGTTGACGTATATAATGAATAGGGTTGGGCCAAGAACGGAGCCTTGTGGAACACCGCTTTCAACCGCTACCTCCGCCGACTGCCTGACACCGACATGGACGATTTGAGAGCGACCGATCAAGAAACTTTGTATCCACCTCAGGAGATTACCCCTCAGGCCTGTTCGGTTTAATTTGTACAGGAGACGCTGATGGGGTACACTGTCGAATGCTTTCTTAAAGTCGACGTAGACTGCGTGCACTGCATTGCTGCCATCGACTGCCCGGGTCCAGCGATCTAAACAATATAGTAGATTCGTCACGCATGATCTGCCTCTACGAAATCCGTGCTGGGCATCGCATAGCAGATTATGCTCTTCTAGGAAGTGCATTATTTCTCGCTTTACTATTTTCTCCATTGCAGCAAATTGAAGTAAGGCTGATTGGTCTGTAGTTGTTTGCTAAGACCTTGCTGCCGCCTTTATAAATTGGCGTGATCCGCGCTGATTTCCAATCGGAGGGCAAATTGCCTGCTTCGAACGAAGCTTGGAAGAGCATGGACAGCGGTTTGGATAGTTCTCCAGCAAGTTCCTTCAACAATTTGGGCGGTATGTCATCCGGCCCAGGTGAATTAGACTCATTCAACTTCAACAGTTCTTTGCGAACAATAGCTTCGGCGAAAGAGGCGTGCTCAATCGTTGGCCCACTCCACTATGTCGCAGTCGGGAGGGAGAAATGCGCTTTCCTTCGTAAAGATGGACTTAAAGAACTGTGAAAGGTGCTCTGCCTTTTCTCCGTCTTCACTGAGTTCTAGGTCGTCACTAGTTTTCAATAACGGGATTGGGTCTC